CAGACTGGAGTGCAGTGGCCGCTCCCGGCCACCGCAGCCTCGACCTGCTGGGCTCCGGCGATCCTTCCGCCTCAACCTTCCGAGTAGCCGGAATTACAGGCACGTGCTACCACGCCTGGCTGATTTTTTTATTCGTTGTAGAGATGAGGTCTCACCAAGTTACCCAGGCAAGTCTCGAACCCGCGGGCTCAGGCAGTCCACTCACCTCAGCCTCCCAAAGCGTGGGATTATAGACTGAGCCACCGAGCCTGGCAACTTTTTGATTTATTGTAGAGACGAGTCCTCGCCAAGTTGCCCAGGCTGGTCTCGAACCCCTGAGCTCAGGCAGTCCTCTTACCTTGGCCTCCCAAAGTGCTGGGATTACAGGCTTGAGCTACCGTGCCCAGCCCAATCCTACCAATTTAAAGACTGTTTTCGTTTGCCTGTTTCTTTTTGGACTTTAATTTTGCACTTTTACAGTTCTGGCTTACACACAATTGGCAAACAAATGCTCTCTTTTAGAGGTGAATATGCTTTAGGAAAACAAGAATTACATTAAGGAACCAGAATTTTTTGTTTATTTTTTCTGACAACTGTAGTAATCAGGATATGGGTTTTGGTTACTTAGGAGATTCATACATGAAATAGGAATCATAAAAGCTTCTTATTTAAAACGATGCTCAGTGTTTATTAGATTAAATTCCTGCTGACATTCATTATATTGATGTTGAATCAATTGTTATTCAAAATGTTGTCTTTTAGACAAGAAATATGTTCTAAATGGAAGTATCTTTATTTTTCTATTAAAGTATGTATTCTAAAAACTCAAATCATTCAGTTAGTTTGTGTGAAGTAAAAAACTGGCCTGGGCCGAGCGCAGTGGCTCAAGCTTGTAATCCCAGCACTTTGGGAAGCCAAGGTGAGAGGATTGCCTGAGCCCAGGGGTTGGAGACCAGCCTGGGCAACTTGGTGAGACTTCGTCTCAACAATAAATCAAAAGATTAGCCGGGTTTGGTAACTGTAGTTCCAGCTACTTCCTGTAGTTCCAGCTATTTGGAAGGCTGAGGCAGAAGGATCACCTGAGTCCAGCAGGTCGACGCTGGGGTGGCCGTGAATGTTCCACTGCACTCTTGCCTTGGTGACAGAATGAGACTCTGACTCCAAAAAAAAAAAAAATGGTCTGTTCCTAATCCTAATCCCATTCCTAGTAATATCATTTATAACAGGTAACCACTTAATGATTTGGCCTGTATCTTTACAGTCTCTTAAAAACGTATTTATAGTCTTTATTTTATATCAGTGGAATCATGCTATACCTACTTTTTTCATTCAAATATACCTCAGCAATGCCATTCCACGTGAATACTTTAGTCTTTGAAATGACTACATGTTACTTACTATGGATCTGGATCAGGAATGATAAACATTTAGATGCTAACTGGGTGATAATTAAAATTTGAAATGTTAATGGAAGTTGATAACAAAATATTACTGCATTCCACTCATTTAGAAATGTGTTGATACCTACAATGTGTCCAACATCATCAACATTAGAAAATATGGAACTACCATAGGCCCTTTCTCTCTCAGACTTTAGTATCTGGTTGTGGAGCTACGGATCTTACAGGAAACCACTAGGAAATGATGTGACTGCAGAGGAATATACTATACAATCTGTAATTTATCTACTTTTGCTGGGTGCAGTGGCTCACACCAGTAATCCCAGTACTTTGGGAGGCAGAGGAGAGAGGATTGTCTGAGCTCAGGAGTTCTAGACCAGCCTGAGCAACATGGTGAGACCTCATCTCTACAATAAAATCAAAAAATTAGCTGGGCAAGGTGGCACATGCCTGTGGTTTCAGCTACTTGGAAGGCTGAAGTGGAAGGATCGCCTGAGCCCAGCAGGTTGAGACTGTGGTGGCGTGAATGTGTCACTGCACTCCAACCTAGGTGACAGTGAAACTGATAAAAAAAAAAAAATCTACTTTTATATTTTCTTTCACCTCAGCTCTTACACTTTCCATTTTCCATTCTGGAATTTTAAAAATAAAAGATTTTTCTTTTCTTTTTCCTTTTTTTTTTTGAGTTGGAGTCTTACTCTGTCGCCCAGACTGGAGTGCAGTGGCCGCTCCCGGCCACCGCAGGCTCGACCTGCTGGGCTCCAGTGATCCTTCTACTTCAGCCTTCCGAGTAGCCGGAATTACAGGCGCGCACTACCACGCCTGGCTGATTTTTGATTTATTGTAGAGATGAGGTCTCGCCAAGTTGCCCAGGCAGGTCTCGAACCCGCAGGCTCAGGCAGTCCACTCACCTGAGCCTCCCAAAGGCGTGGGATTACAGGCTGGGCCACCGAACCTGGCTTTTTTTTTTTCTTTTTTTGAGTCAGAGTCTCACTCTGTCACCCAGGCTGGAGTGCAGTGGCATCTCCCAAGGTTCTGGGAGTACAGGTGTGAGCCTCTGCACCTGGCTATCTCTGGCTTTTCTGTCTTTGAATTTATATCTGTAAAATTCATTCATGATTTTGCATGAAATCATCTTGAACATTTTTTTTTTTGATGGCCAAATGTACTTCTCTTTCTCAGATATATACTTAAGCAAAAGTGTAATTGCTGAATTATATGGAACATGTATATTTATACCTCCAAAAATGATTGTACCAGTTTACAGTCTCACCAACAATGTGAGAGTTCTACTTCCTCCACTGTTTTGCTGACATTTGGTATTGACCTTTGAATTTTAGCCATTCTGGTTGATATCTCATTATTGCTTTAATTTACGTTTCTCTAATGAGTTTTGATGTTGAATGTCTATTCATTCACTTATTGTCCATTTGGAAATCCTCATTTGTGAAGTGACTTTCAAGTGTTTGTCTTTTATTTTATTGTATATTGTTTTCTAAGAAAGACATTTCAGGTAGAGGAAGTAGTAAGAAAACCGGGCTGCTTGGAGTGTAACCTGCAAGGTGAGGAAGAGGCATGGAGAGCTAATTTAAAAAATTTTAAAGTATCAAATGTTAGGAACCGGATTCTTTTTCTTTTCTTTTTTGTAGAGACAAACTATTACTCTGTTGCCCAGGCTGGAGCTTATTGCAGCCTCCAGCTCCTGGGCTCAAGGGATCCTCCTGCCTCATTCTCTCAAAGTGCTGGGCCAAGAGAGCTAATATTAGTCTTTCGAAGATAAGGAAACTGAGGCATAAAGAACCTAGATAACTCACCTGAGTAAGTGGCAGAGCCAGGATTTGAACCCAGGCTTCAGTGTCTATATTCTTAATCATTGCTTTACACTGTCTCCAAAAGACACAGAAATGAAAGGAAACTTAAAAGATTTTCTGGTCAATTCTAAACCTTTTATAGGTTTTTCTTTTTTTTTTTTTTCTTTTTCTCTTTAGAGACAGAGTCTGTGTTGCCCAGGGTGGAGCACAATAGCTATTCACAGGTGTGATTTTAGCTTATCACAGCCCCTAACTCCTGGCCTCAAACCGTCCTTCCACCTAAGCCTCCCAAAGGGCAATTCATTCTTTTACATGTAGATATCCGGTATTCCCAGCATTATCTGTTAAAAACTCTGTCCTCTCCCTTATCAAAAATCATTTGACTATATATATGAGGGTTTGTTTCTGAACTCTCTATTCTATTCCATTCATCTATATGTCTGTCTTTATGCCAGTACCACACTAGTTTGATTACTGTAGCTTTGTAGTAAGGTTAAAATCATGAAGGGTGAGTCCTCCAATTTTGTTTTTCCTTTTCAAGATTGTTTTGACTATTCAGGGTTCTTGTGATTCTATACGAATTTTAGGGCAGATTTTTCTATTTCTGTACATCTTTAGGATTTTGCTAGGAATTGCATTGAATCTATAAATAGTTTTGGGTAGTATTGACATCTTAACTACATATCTATATCTATTTATCTCTTCTTTAATTTCTTTCAGCAGTATTTTATAGTTTTCATCGTACAAGGCTTTCACCTCCTTGGTTAAATTAATTCCTAAGTATTTCATTCTTTTTGATGCTATTGTAAATATAATTGTTTTCTGAATTTCCCTTTCAGATTGCTCATTGTTAATGTATAGAAATGCAACTGATTTTTATGTCTTGATTTTGTATCCAGCAAGTTTGTTCGATTTACTTATTAATTCTAAGGGGTTTTTTTTTTTTGAATTTTTAGGATTTTCTATATATAAGATTATGTCATCTGTGAACAGAGATCATTTTACTTCTTTCTTTCTGATGTGGATGCTTTCATTTTTTTCTTGACTAATTGTTAGAAATACTGTGTTTAGAACGATAAAAGTAAGCATCTTTGTCTTATTACTTAATCCTTTTGTTTTATAGATGTGAAAATGTAGGCCCTGAGAGAGGAATTTACTTGCCCAAAGTTATACAAGTTCATAGCAAAGCAAGAACTGGTGTCAGATCTCTTAATTTTCGGGTTCCCTATTCTTTCCATTATATTGAGTTACACAGCCGGGCTCGGTGGCTCAGCCTGTAATCCCGCGCCTTTGGGAGGCTGAGGTGAGTGGATTGCCTGAGCCCGCGGGTTCGAGACCCACCTGGGCAGCGAGACCTCATCTCTATAATAAATCAAAAAATCAGCCGGCCGTGGTAGCACGTGCCTGTAATTCTGGCTACTTGGAAGGCTGAGGCGGTAGGATTGCTGGAGCCCAGCAGGTTGAGGCTGCGGTGGCCGGAAGCGGCCGCTACACTCCAGTCTGGGCAACAGAGTGAGACTCCAACTCAAAAAAAAAAATAAATAAAATAAATAAATATATTGAGTTACAGAATTAAGCATAGTTGGTTATGGAAATGAGGCAACATGACTCTTTTAAGTTCACTTTGAATATATTCACATAAATAAGTCACCCGAGATGCTGGTATTGAGTAACTATTTTGGTATTGTGGAATTTTATGGATTTTTAATCTGTATTATAATTGTTCCAAACTCAATTTGTAATTGTTTTATCTGATGCATGTAATCTAAATGTTTATAAAGTCTCAGAATGTCATTCTTTTATTTCTCAGTGCAGTTACAATTGGAACTGATATGCTAGAATTGGACTGCCATATCACAAAAGATGAGCAAGTTGTAGTTTCACATGATGAGAATCTAAAGAGATCAACTGGGATCAATGCAAACATCTCTGATCTCAAGTACTGTGTAAGTAAAAATGTATGATAAACTCATTTCTAATAGATATTTGGGCCTATAATATTTCTTAAAAACAGTGAATATAAAATATTATTTCAATAAATAATTACTGAAATTATTCATACCTATAGGCAAGAGGATTGTCTGAGCCCAGGAAGAGGATTGCCTGAGCCCAGGGGGTTGAGACTAGCCTGTGCAATTTGGGCAGGATCTTGTCTCTACAATAAATTTAAAAAAAATAAGCCGGGTGTGGTGGTACATGCCTGTGGTTCCAGCTACTTGGGAGGCTGAGGCAGAAGGATCACCTGAGCCTAGCAGGTTGAGGCTGTGGTGGCCATGAGTATGCCACTGCACTCCAGCCTGGGCAACAGAGTAAGACTCCAAC